ATTTTTGTTTTTTTTGATAAGAAGTTGTTTTCAATGAAATTCTTCATTTTCTTGTTGAAATGGTATGAAAAATGCAGATCTCTGCTGGTCTCGTCAAGGCCATTTTTCAAAATTAACGAATAATGAATCAAGAAAAAAGATTCAAAGGAAAAACGATCAGAGCATGGACAAAAAATTGTTGACTGATAACTGTAAATTATAATTAGTACTTTATGATAAAACCATAACTAATGTATCTAAATAATTATATTTTTGTCACATTCAAATTTGCTGTAAGTATTTTTTCACTCTAGAAAGACATTTTATTGTTCTTTACTTTCATTAAAAGTGCATCTAACTATAATTATTTTGTTTAGTGGCCGTGTGTAAATTTCCACAGAAGAATTCTGTACACATTACAAATCCAGCCTTACCTAAAGGTATGAACAATATTCATAATGATTGTGAAATCAGTATTGATAAACTAAACAACAACATTGTCTATAAGGTTTGAGAATGATACTCTGTTTTACATCAGCCCAAAGTTAGAAATACTCTAAATTAAAAATACGTTTGTTCTATTAAGAGATACTTTCAATAGCTTACGCGTTTCAAATATTCATTGACTCCTTTGTAAAACAACTTCCTTCGAGGAACTCTTTCATATAGTTTGCATGTGGAAAGTCATTGTATAGAGCCAAGAAAACAACAGCAGCGTACATGTACCTAACTTGCCTAACTCTATTTTCCTGACAGTTGTAAATAATTTCCTCTAATAATCTGTTGAGTCAGAAAGTTTCGGTGGGCTTTATACCAAAAAAATTGCTTCTACTAATCACCTGCTATTCATTTCTCTCTATGAACAACCTCGAACAGATTATTGAATCTAGGCCGGATTTTATCACATTTGATAATTACCTCTCTATTGATGGTATGACATGCTCCTTGAAATTTGAAATAAAATATTATAATTTGTGGGAAATTTCATAAAGCATCAACTTTTAAAAAAAATTCAATTTTTTCTGCAAAATTTATATCTAATAAAACATGACTGATTGTCTGATTCTCTAGATTTTTGAAGGCTGCAAAAAGTTTAACATCCTTCACTGTCTTCCTAACAACTACAATCTAGAAGATAAATGTTTACCCATAAGAACTCAGCTTTAAAAAACTTATATCTTTAAATGAGGCCAAGTACATTTCTTCCAAATATGAGTAGTTTATGCAATAATTTGGGGCCAAAAAAAACAGGTAATTTTAAAAATGATTAGCTCCAAAAGGGCGTCAACTTATTCTTTAATTTTGTTTTTCAAATAGTTTCGCAAAGTACATGAACTAAAATGCTTCTATTTCTATTACACTCTTTCAAACTTTCAAAAATGTAAAGGTTATAAAAGACATCACTGGAACATTCATGATGCTGTACGTCCA